GAGGGCAGCTGACAACAGATCTGACTATTTACATACAGTGCTTTAAAACTGTGGAACCTTTTAACTTTACATTGACGTCGTCTCTACATCTCTATGGTTAAGAAACTAGCATCCTATTACACAGATTGCAGGCTCCCTCTAGTGGTGGCCTTTAGAATAAAATGCTGTCCAGTATTTTTTCTGTTAAAATGTTTTTGTGAATCGGTTTTATTTTAATATCCATGCAGGTAAGGTGGAGCCGGAGCTGTTGCACACGTACAGCCGCATCGATCCCTATGACATTTTAATCCTGTGTGTCCGAGTGGCTGTCCTCACCGCTGTGACGCTGACCGTGCCAATTGTGTTGTTCCCTGTAAGTTGGGGGCCTTAGGTTTGTTTCCACACTTCAAACAGACACGATATACTAATGTGTTTTTCCAATCACACGATAAAATTTGCAGGTGCGCAGAGCCATCCAGGAGATGTTATTTCCCAGCAAGTCTTTCAACTGGTTACGTCATGTCGGCATCGCCTTCGTTCTGCTCTCCTTCATCAACATGCTGGTGATATTTGCTCCCAACATTCTGGGCATCTTTGGCATCATTGGTTAGTGCATTACAGCATTATTTTAATGGAAAACTTAAGTAGGTCCAGGTTAAATTTCACTTGTTTTTGTTGATTAATTCCATCATGGGTGATTAAACATGGTTCACAAATAAAACAAAATGCCTCGTCTGACCAAGATAGACATCTTTTACAGTCAGAAAACAAAAAAGTTATGATTACTCTTTGCTTTGCACTGTAATTTTATGCATTGTTGGCTCTTGTTCACACATCTTGGAAGTGAGAACTAAGACATGTGACTAACATGTTTATTCTAGGAGAAAGTGGCAGGTGGAATCAATATTATTGTCGAAGTTTGTCCTCAGAGTGCAGGTCACGTTTAATGAGTCAAAGGCAAAAACACTGAGGACCTTTGGGGGCGACATCTTCAAAGCAGCCCTTCCTGCTCTAAAAATGTATATATATGACAGACAGAGCACAAACAAACATAAAAACCAGGAAAAGTTTTATTTTTAAATATTTATATGAATTGGTTTGATTAGAAAAAAAACATATCCTGTACGCATGACAAAAAATGTAACTGCGGGTAGTTCCTGACTCAAGCTGTCGCCGTTTTCCGAATGGGGCAATTAGTTTATGAATATATAAAAATAATTCCACAGCTTCATAACCAAATATGAAAATCTTAAAGCCGATTTTGTAAGTGACTTTGTGAGTGATTTCTTCCACATCATGGCAGGATATACAACCTTGTTAATGTCCTGAAAGGAGGACAGACAAAGCCTTTCGAAGAGGAAAGTATACGTTTGTAAGACCATCTTTCTGTCTTTACTTGATTCAGGTGCCACATCAGCTCCCTGCCTCATTTTCATTTTCCCCGCTGTCTTTTACATCCGCATCGTTCCCAGAGAGGACGAACCCATGACCTCCACTTCAAAAATACTGGTGAGGCATAAACATAATTTAGACATTTGACAGTTCAGATAATGTTGAAAAGTAGATCATTTGCTTCTCTGTGTTTTTTTAAAATATTTTTTTAAAGGCTTCTTGTTTTGCTGCTCTGGGAGTCTCCTTCATGGTGATGAGTCTGAGCTTCATTTTCATCGACTGGACGTCAGGGACCAGCCTGGCTGCTGGAGCTCACTAACAGCCGCTTCAGTTTGTGTGTGCAGTGTTTGGAGAAGGGTTGTTCGGTATGTTCATTAGAAAGGGAGAGTTCTCACCTCAGTCGAACACGTTACCGGCTGTCCAGCACAGAGTCTGGGTCTGCCACGACACAAAATACACACAATAATAAATGCTACGTTGGAAGGCAGATACCCGAACAAAAATCTTCTATTTGCTGCAATTTCTAATTTATTTTTTATATATATATATTACAGAGAGTTTCTAATACAGTTTATTAAAATTACACCACAAAATCAACCCGGCAGGATGAAATGGTCGTCTCCTGCTTCTAAGGCTTTGCTTTCACGCTAATAACTGCAGCTGGTTCTGTGTAGGTAAATAAAAACAAAAGCTATTTTAAATGTTCTAAATGAGACGTACAAAGAGAAGCAGTCAGGTAATCTCACGTAGAATCAGAATCAGTATGAACTGCTCATCATCATCATCATCATCATGCAGTCTTTGAAGTGCTCTAAGACTTTTGCAGTGACATGACATTTTTACTTTTCTGTAAGGTTTCCAAAGGAATTAAAACTGCTGTGCCTTTTATCATTTGCAGTGGCACAAAAATAAATAAATAGCGTATATTTATTTAGTTAACAGATATCTCCTTTCTGATTTCAGATGATCTATATTTAACTGCTGTCTTTGATTACATCCAGAAAAATCAATGTTTTACACTTTGTTTTCTTTTATGGTGACAAAAACTGACTATGTTTATTAATAATTTAGAAATTTGAAACTTCCTCTTACTACATCTTTACCCCAAACGTACTGTGATTTTCTATCATAATCTTACAGTCGATTACGCCGATCCTATTAGTTGAATAGCATGTTTTGGCAATCTTTCCTAGGCATCCCTGGTAAAGAGGTGTAAATAGACTTGAAATAATTTTCTATCATAAAAAATAACACAAATCTGATTTACTTGATTTTACATGTTTGTTTTTTCTCCCCATTTGGAAGAGTAACTGGTACAAACATGGCCTCTGTGTCATACTCCGGAGAAACAGGACGAAATTGATTACCATTGAAACGTTGCTTGAAAATCTGATCAAGATTAAAAGTAATAATGTTGCTTAATTTACATTCACTTTAGAGGGCTTGTAAGTGATAAATGTTTTAAAATACAAATAACTACATAATCTGGTTTATCCTTGTTTAATAAACATTATCAAATTAGTTTATTTTTATGGATTTTTATCGATTCTACAAAAAAAAAAAAAACAAAGCAATGAATATAATTCTGATCCATTTTACAAATATTTATCAGGACTGGAGTCAATGGAGTCAAGAAACTACTGGTGCTACTGTCTGAACATTAACAATCCAAATTCACAAAAGTCCCTTTTCCAATAATGTTTAAATGGTCCAATAAATATTCTAACTTTCTGTATTATCTATCTATCTAAACTCATACTTCAGAGGATTGTACATATCTTAGAGTAATTTAACCAAACCTTTCTGCATGTTTATACACCACAAGGTAAAAGTGCTGATTTAAATAGTGCCTGGTCTGCAGCAGATAAACTGACAAAGTGTTGTGCCTTTGTGACACAGCTGCAGAGTTTTTAATGGTTCTGGTTTAACGAGCTGTTAAAGTGCTTGGATCTGAATTTACTGCCTTGCATGATGTAGTAATGTACATTTAGCAACTTTTATTACCTGTGCTGTAGAATGATTAAAACTCAAAAACTGCTATTGTTGTGATGTACGTATTTGACCAAATACCTCCCGAAATGGATATTCTGAACCCACAATGGCATGGCTAAATATCCTAAATAATAAAATTCAGGTTTACAGAAAAGCTTCTAATGGATTACAAACCAAACATGTGTTACAGTGTTATCGAGGCGAGGTTTTATCGTCCATGTATGTTAAAATATAACATGTGTTTCCAAAGAGTATTTAGTCCTTTACATGTCAGTTTTTTTAATGGAAAGTTGTATCATGAATCTTGTAATATAAATCATCTATTTTGGATAAATATAGCAGATGAAGCTCTTACTTGCTCAGTAGTTTTTTATTGAGATAAAAGTTGAATAAACAAGATCCACAAGAATACTATTCACAAATACATATTTTAAAGACTTTATTTCTGTTAGTTATGATGGTTTCCACTGATGGCTAATGAAAATATTAAAGTTAAGATTAGAATATTATTTATACAAGATCAATAAAAAAACATTTCAAGACAGGAATGCAAGTTAATGAGAGGTATGAGAGGTATGTTTAATGCATGCTTGAAGGTCATTATTTTCAAAAGGTACTTTTAATCTGACAAACATACGACTGAATAAGACACTATCTGTTCTACACAGACTTTTGAAACTGATTCACACAATTTTTCTTATGTGCCTCTCTTAACATGATGTCTGTTTTTTGCCTTTCCTGTATATGTTATGATGTAATTGCCCTTTAGCATTGTCCTGTTTTGTTTATTAGTCTGCCGTGCCATCAATAACAACAGACTACCTACTGTATTGAAATGCCTTTAAATTTGTTTCACCGTTTCAGCTCTAGCCTGTATTGTAGTAAAAATCCTTTGTATGTAAACCACTTTGTGTGAGATGTTATGCTTCAGCATGTTAAACAAATCAACAAGGCAGAACTTTATATAAATAATGTATATAGATGTAAACATTTTATATTTGTGATGCTTATTTACAGTAGCTTGTAAAGTGTAAATAGTTGGGACAGTTTTAGTTTGGAAAAAATAAAATAATTAAATAATTGTACATGTTTTTATTTTGCCTTTGTTGTCTTCATTTGTCTTTCATCCGGTTCTGGCAGTTTTATTTTTGCACAAACTTTGCACATTTAATTGTTTTATGATATTAGACTTTTGAACCTGTTGAGGCATTTTAAATTCTTTTTTTTTAATCTCCAAACATCAACAGTATTTTTCCCACAACCATGGCTATTTGTACCTTATCAGAGCTCTTGTCAAGGCTAAACTTATTTTAAGCTCTGTGGGTCATCATGACCCTGCACTCTGCTGGCAAACATAATGTGCAGACCCCTCAGCAATAAATACTACTAGTTATTATTATTATTATTATTATTATTATTATATCTTCATTCTCATATGCACTTTACACTTTATTCTCTATGCTTCCCTTTCGTGTAGCAAGAAAGCTATACTAGTTACCCTCTTAGGCGGAGATTATGTTCAGCTAAATGCCACGCGATGGCGCTGTGCACTAGTTATTCCTGCGGCCTAATTGCGTGCAAAGGCATTTCATAAACAAGCGAAGCGCGGGCACCTTTGCCGTTTGAACAGTCACTGAGCGGTTTCTATATGACAGCAGCTATCGTTACTGCTGTGTTTTTGTCGACCTGTGGTCAGCAGAAATGCAGAGGAATGAGGCCGGAACAGCGCCCACTGCAGACCGCGCACAGACAGCACTCCCCCTGACATCTCTCCGCGCTGGCTCGTTTCCCTCTAATTGGTTTCGCTCGGACCAGTCAGTGGAGAGCTCACCTGCTTTTAATTGGACTATCGCGACAAGTTGCTGAACTGACGTCAACACAACCGGTTGACAACTTTTCGCGCGACGATATCTGAGGATTTTCGCGCGAGACTAATTGACTGCACCACGCAGGGACGCGCTGTTCAGCGGCAAACCAGGCTGACGAGACGAACGAGGGGAACGGGCGCAGGCTTCTCCAGCCCGTGCTTGGATGTATGGATGTAGGGCAGAGGAGAGTCGGAGCTTCTCGGCATGGACCAAATAGCTTCCAGTTGAGAGCAAAAGAGCAGGGACATTGATTTAATATATTTATATTAATAATCAGGAGTAGGGTATTTTCTCCCTACAAGCCGCCCAATCTATTTCCCTGAAATCAGCAAAGAATAATTTTTTATATATATATATATATTTTGGTTTTTTGCGCAAGTGGTCGGTGTGTCCCTGCCTCCGGATCCATGGGTTGCACTGTGAGTGCTGAGGATAAGGCTGCGGCGGAGAGGTCAAAGATGATTGACAAAAACCTCCGAGAAGATGGAGAGAAAGCAGCAAGAGAGGTGAAATTGCTTTTGTTAGGTAGGTTACCTCAGGAGATTGCTCCTGGGTTTATAATATTTAACGGGAGGACGTGTGTATTCCCAAAGGAAAGCAAATCTCAAAAGGTTTAGTCAGACTTTAATTTAAAACAAAAGCAGATACAGAGTTAATTCTCTCTGGGTTTCGTTTTATATTAGCAGATGCAGTGTTGAAGTCACCCAAGAGTCACACTTGAACAGTATTTAAGATGTTTTTAATTAGCCAACACAAATGTCCTGATTCCTGGAGATAAAGGCAGACATCATCATGTCAACAAGCCGTCCTGATTTGCTTCTCAGAGCTCTGAGTTGGCTTTTTTCCTAGAACGCCTAATTTAATACAGCCAATGAAACCGGGCTGAACATTAACAGAGCCACCCACCGGCTCCGCTATAACAAAAACACCTGTCACTTTTACACACTGCTAGATTCAGTCCCAAGTGTTGTCTAAAATCAGTCTGTTTTTATGAAAAGTATCCTGCAGCTTAGCGGCACAGTCCCCATTCTTCCCTTGGCCTTTTCCTCTCATACTGTATGTGCAAACACACTTGGGCAAACAGCCAACACACATCCTCCCACTCATCACCACATTCTCAGTTCCCCCTTGTCCTCCTCTGTCTTTTCTTCCCATCAATAAGTGTCTGATATGTATTTTAAAAAATAAATTATTCTAGGTTGTTAGAGGTTGTTTCTTCATTATGTGTAAAGGAGAGCGAAAAAATAGTTTTTTATTTGAAGTGTCAAGATGTTTACACGGGACTTGATCTAGATGGTTAGTTGTTATGGCTTCATTAACAACTAAAGATGGCTGCCTCTATAATAAAAAATGTTATTACTAATAATGATACAAGTGTGTTAGTTGGAGATGCTTTTGATGGCACTGTGCCCACACAAAGTAAAGCTCCTCCGAGCTGCACCCCTCCTCAGAAACCTTCGTCACTCAGCTCCTTCAGACTAGCGGCAGCAGCACTTAGCAAACACTTAAGTGGAACTGCGTTCCTTCTGAACTTATCATACAGACCTCTTCTTAGTCCAGCTCTACTAAGACTGGTTGTAAATGACATAATGAGGAGCATTCTTGTGATAAAGTGCTGAAGCCAAAGTGTTGGAAAAAGTAGGACCTTCTTAAAGAAACAGAGGCCCGATTTCAAGGCCTCAAAATATGAAGTTATGTTTGATATATGCAACATTTTTATATTTATATATAAAAAAGCTGAATGTAATATAATTGATTCTATTTTATAGCACAATCTGTCTGGAAGATACATAATACTTCCCCTCTAATGTTTCTATTTAAAAGTCTTCATGTGTCATAGTAGATGTTATAGTACAAAAGCAAATATTGTTCAGTATTCCATTTAAATTTTCTATTGGCTTCTTACTGTGTGCTCTTTGTTGCTCCTCTGCAGATCTCTGGTGATTTGTCTTTGGTTATTATTTCTGCTCTAACTGCACTTTTATTACCGTATATAAAATATCTTCTCCTTGTCCCCCTGAAAATATGTCAGAAGAAGATGGTTAGCAGCACATTGCTTACTCTGCAACAGCAGATTTTCTACTGGTGGAGTTCTTCAGTAACCATAATGCAATAATGGAAGGAAAACAGGTTCATATTCATTTAGAAACAACAATACTAATGTTTTAACTCAGGAAGAGTTCAGAAACCAATATTTGGTGGAATAATTAACCAGGAGGTTTTCAATGGGGTTCAGTGCAGTGAACTTTAAATTTTTTCTACAGATGTATATATAAATAAAAAATGTATCCCCCTCTCAACCTCCGTGGGTGGT